CTTCTGACCTTCGATGATCCAGTTCAACCGTACCAATAAGAAAAAATGACTCTAGACAAACATCTGTGTGTTTTTTTTTTATTGCTGAAGTGTGTTGATATTTCTTCTTCTGCATTCTACTGTACGGACGTAAATTTACTTTGCCTTCAGCCTGAGGCTTATTCATTTCACGTTTGGTGTGAAAAGGCTTTTATATTTGCCAAAAATAGAACTTTTTTATTTAAAAAACAAACAAGCAAGCCCTGTCCAGATTGAAAAAGTAACGCAAAAGTAACGTAACACATTACTTTCCATAAAAAGTAACTAAGTTATATATATATATATATACAGCATATTTACATAAATTTACATAGCATTTGCAATGTTTAATATGAAAATACATGCAATTTACATGTGTCCTTAACGTCGTCATAGTGCATGTCATGATAATGGCCACAGTCACATCTCATGCACCAAATAACCATTTGCGGTCCATTTTGCGGGCCACTATTGGCGATATGAAAAATTGCCGATTTACAATTGCCAAGTCTTTAAAAGAGCCTTACTGTAATCACCATATTCCCAATACAGCTACTCCTCAAATTTTTCTTTCATGCATGCTTGTAAAATATACCAGCTTTCTGAAAGTAATATTTGTGTCTGGCAGGCTGTAAGCATTGTTATTTTTAATCAGGCAAGTAGTCATACTACTCTCAAAATACCTCATCTGGAGCAGCGTCTCAAAGCCGTAGGGCGTGCATTGTAATGCATTACTTTTAAAAGTAACTTTCCCCAACACTGGTCATAAGTGCCATGTGATCCTTCAAGAATCATTCTAATATTTTTTATACTTTTTTTTTACTATAATCAGTGTAAAAACAGTTGAGCTGCTTAATATTTTTGTGGAAACCATTATACTGTCACTTTTCATTCAATTAAATATTTAATGTATCTGGAGACATGACTAAGAACACAGGCTGCCCAAAATAACTGAAGCCATTCGAGTGAGCTTGTTATGCAAAAATTGTCTTGACGCTTTAATGCAAGAAAGTCAGTGCAGCTGGTTGAGCGAGTCTAAGGGGCTGCGCCTGTCTTTATCGGCTCCCTCGGTGGGGGTGATCAAGGGAAGCGCCGTTATCTGCCACCGGCTTTTGCGCACCTCTCAGAAAACATGCATGTGGGAACAAAGCTCTTCAGTTCTGTATTCATCTTAGGTTGCTTATGATGACACAGTCAGTTTGAGCTATTGACATATTGTGGACAATGTGATAAAAATGATCAATGAGTGGCTGCAATTGTGGCTCTTAATGGCTCTCATTCAGATGAAGAGCAGGTCGAAGTGGATGCATAAATGAATTCAAGAATTGTAGATCTATTTAACAGCCCTTAATTAGCATAACAAATATTTTTTTCTGTACATTATCCGTGGGCCAACAGGGAATTGTGTTGATGTTTTTTCTGTGTGCAATTATCACCCGTCATATCGCCACTTGTTATTATTGCTGTTCCTGTTGGACTTGCAATGTGGTATGAAGTAAAAGTCCTCTCTAATTTCTGCCTTTGTTTTCACGTCCACCAATAAAGAAGTAGCAGTGTGTGTGTGCGTTTGTACTGCAGAACTGCAGCTTCATGATGTTTTACTGCCATCTGTTGCCAGTGCTTTATACATGTTTTGTAGTCAGACCAATAGTGGCCCCGCGATGCTCTGCGTCTCCCAGCATCCATTCTAGTGAACTGTGGCATGAACTGCAATTATATTCAGCTTTTAGATTACATTGTTGTCGAGTTATGTGTGTGTGTGTGTGTGTGTGTGAGAGAGAGAGAGATGTCACGATGTTGCATCAGGTCTGAGCACATTTACACAGAATCACTTCCACAAACCCTCTGAAGCAATGACATATTTTACCAGTAAAATATAAATCTATGATATTATAAAGGAACCACATCTTTTTAAAATAAGTAGTTTTTTAGTAGTAAATATGGGTGGTGGAATGCCTAGCAACCCATAACAGCATAGCAAACAAATGGCAGTGACTAAAACCACCTTAGCAACTGCGTGCCAACACCATGACAACCATGAATAACAGCCCAGCATTATGGTGGCAAGTTAACTCACATTAACAAAGACATTTGATCTTTGCACTCGACTCCAAAAGTCAATTTTGATTTGATTGTCATTTAAGAGAATAACTAAATAACGAAAAAGAAGAAAAGGGTGTTCTGAGGGGTTATACAATTTTGATAAGGCATATTTCTATACCTGACACGAGGCTGGTTTCAGGCAGGGTGACACACTTTGAATTATGTTGTAGACTTAGAAATACAGTCTTTTCTCTCAGTTTTGACTGCCCTGGTCACATTTTATATGAATTAAAATGAATCAGTTCAGGATTCACAGTATATTCATGTCATTTCTGTCCAGTTCTTATAAATGTATTCATGGTTTTTAAAAAGAGCCCATTAAATAGAATGTGTTTTTTGTGCAAATGTATGGAACATATAAAAATTATTTATTTGCTACCTGTTATTGCTAATTGCTGAGGGGTTGCATTCATTTTATTGGACCAATAATATATATATATATATATAATATATTAAGCATCACAGCAGTTTCCTACAATGATGATAATAAGAAATGTTTCTTAAACACCAAATCAGCATTTTAGAATGATTTCTGAAGGATCGTGTGACACTGGACACTGAAGACTGGAGTAATGACTGCTGGAAATTCAGCTTTGTCGTCACAGAAATAAATTACATTTTAAAACATATTTAAATATAAAAGAGTTATTTAAAACTGCAAAACTATTTCACAATATTACTATTTTGTACTGGATTCTGATCAAATAAATGCAGCCTTGGTGAGCATAAAACTCTTCTTTCACAAATATTTAAAAAATCCCCAAACTTTTGAATTGAAGTGTATATGCTTTGTGCTTTTTAAGAAATAAAAGTTTTCCATTAAAGTAAACAGATAATGAGATCTGACTGAGACTGTAAATAACCAGTGTGCTGATTCTATTCCCTCCGGACTGTATCCATGTGTCCACAAGAGCTCATCAGAAAGAATGACACCAGTGCCCAGTTAGATCATCACAGTCATGCTCAGACACAGCACAGACACTGGAGCGCTGCACTAGATGTTCCTTTAGATCTTTTTAATATGCGCCTTGAGAAATATTAGCCGTCTTTGCCATTTGGTAGCATCTAGCCATTTAAGATTGTGTCATCTGCCACACTTTATAAAGTGACATTTAAATCCTTTTTAACATCATGTTCGTACTGTCCAGCGGAAATGTAATGTGAGTGTTTGTGGAATCGTTTTTTTTTTTTACTCTCTCTTTGTTGCCTGTGGTTCATTTGATTTAATGCTCTGAACCCCTGTAGATCTCAGTGGGTGGAATTTAAATGTGTCTGGAGAAGAAAACAGTTACATGAGCTGGGAAGGAGTTTTGTTTTAAAAACAATTGCCCACAATACTGCTTGAAAATCGCATGCCATTAATTTGTTAAACTGGTGTTATTTTAGTAGTATTGAAATACTAATGTAGTTTTAATTAATATTTTGAATCAGTTTTTATTTTTATATTTTGTTTTCATTTTAATTTTAGTTATTTTTAAAGTGTTTTTAGTAGGGGTTTTTTCCTTTACATTTTTAGTATTTTTTTTAAAGATGACAATATAGTTTTTGTTTTATTTTTACATATGTTTGTACATCAGGGTAAACTAAATTAAAATTTGGCAACTAGCATTTTTTTTCAGTTTATTTCAATAAAGATTTTTTTTGTGGTTTTAGTTTCAGTTTTAGTTAACTATAGTTAACTGTAAAAACACATTTTTTTAGTTTTTCAAAATATCTTTTGTGTTAAAATAGTCCATACATGCTCCTGCATTTACTGCCAACGCTGAAATCATCATATCATATAGGACACATTAAACCTGATGAGAAGTCTCTATAAATGCAAACAGCTGTCCAATGCACCTAAAGTGATTATTGAGCCATGATTAAAATAATTAGCACCTCATAACATCACGCTACTTGGACTAATATCAGAATATTAAAGTCGTTGCAGGAGCCTCCACGCACAATCGAATCAGCTCATGTCCTTATGTTCAGGATTCATCAGCAATACCGGTTCAGCGGCGGGCTGTCAGTCATGTTGAATTTCCTTCTCATAGTCCCAATCGGGCATTAATTTGTCAATCTGTATGCATAGCGACTCTCATAACTTCCCCAGTGTTGTAATTAGTGCTACCTGAAGTTGTAGGGCTTTGATTGCCTTTAGGGAGGTGTCCTGCAAGGCTGTTTCAAATTAGCACGAGGGCAATCACCCTGATTGCTCACATCTGGTCATTAAAGGAGAGAGGATTTTTCTCCCCTCCTTGCCCTGAACCCAACATGGGCTGAAATCAAAAGCTGGTGCTCGAATAAGCAAGTCTTGAGTTTTTCAAGTGCCTGAAAGAGCTGATTGGACAGCGTGGAAATCCATACTTTTGCATATGGACGCCAATTAAATGTTTGTATGTATTTTTCTGTGAGGATGGTGATGTTTTTTGCAGAACAACAGTTGGATCATGTCAGGATATAGGCGAAGACACCGTTGAAAGCTTCGTGGGGGAGATTGTTGAAACATTCAGCAGCTTTTACTGTTGCATTACGTTCGTGAAATTGATTATTTTTCAGCCTGTGAGCAGGGAGGAGTTGTCTTTTGACGGTTTGAGAATGAGAAAATATATTGCTGGAGTAGCAGAATAACAAAGGATGGAGACAGAACACAAGCTCGGAAGATGAATATTTTTACTGCTTGTTTAGGAGTTTGAGGTGATTTTTCTTCCGTGGAGTGTCCTAGTAGTATCCCAGAACTCCCTTCACCAATTTCTGTTGTTTTCGTGCTTAAATGGATTTATTGTGAATGCTGCATGATCTACTGAGATTTTCCTTCCTCCATCCTATGCCCTGTTTCTGTCTTACTCTCTCATTCTTGATCTGTATTCCCTTCTCTCTGTCTCTCTCTCTTTTAGATATGCATTGCCATCTCGTGACAATGACCGGCTCTGTATCATTGAAATAGCTGTTGCTAATGGAACTGCTAATCGACAGCAGAAATATATGGATCAGCCTGTGTCAGAGGTAAACCTGCTTCTGCATATTCGATCATTTGAATGACTGTGACAATCTATAATTTAACTATGAATTGTCTGATTTACTTTAACCATTTTAACTAATTTTAACTAATTTTAACATAAGAACAATTAAAAGAAAATTATAGAAATTTTAAAAATGTATATAACAAAAGAAGGATTAAAAGTTCTCACACCCACATTTACACACAGCATTTTCGCTGTTGTAAAGGAAAATAATATATTTGCAGTCAGGTAGGTTATTATGCCGTTATTTTTGTAAAGAAGGCACCTCAGTCTTGAGAGCAGGTGTAATGATATTTGCTGCAAAAATAATAAGTTTGATCGTTCAAGTTAAATAATAGGTTTGTGTTTGTGTCTTAATTGATGAGAACCTCAGAGAGTGCTGTGCTGCAATCAGACATTTTCAACAGACTATAAGATACTTAATCAGAATATAATGGCCTTACAAATCCATTTATAGAGCTGCATAAAATAAAATCACTGGAGGCCTTATGGGAGATGTTTATCGAAATGTCTGTCAAATGGCCAAGAAGACGACAAACTTTTGAAGCCCAGTCTGAAAGTTTAAAACAGTTTGAAGGTTAGTTGTAAGTCTTATGATTCTATAGGCCTTTTGTAGTTTGAATCAGTGGCGGTTCTACATTGAATTACACCCTGGGCGAGACCCCCTTCGAGTATTACCTATTTTTATTAGCCATTTCACACAATTCAGAAAAACAAAAATGTGCAGGAACTATAGGCCTGTATTTATAATATTATGAATGAAATGTGCGTTATTTGGAAGAAAGTCGAGGTGTGACTGACTTTAGCCCACTAATTCCATTAGAGTATTGCTCTATACAGTGGATCCCCCGTTCCCCCCCCTTGTCCGTTCTATTTGGGAGAGACCCAGGGGTGAACTGTCCCCCACGCCGCGCCCCGCCCGCCTTTCCCCTTCTCACACAGCTTCTGTGCACGGCACCTTCTCAGCAAGCAGGGGCGCCAATTTGCCAATTCCCCACACAGTCAAATGATAGACAATAGAAAACCGCTTCGCGGCGGCGGCGCAAAGGATTTTTTTTTTTAACTGCTCGTGCCGCCCCCCATGTATTATGAAAAAATGCCGCCCCGGGCGGCTGCCCGGTTCGCCCGTGCCTAAAACCGCTACTGGTTTGAATAGTTAGATGGTATGAAGTGATGTTTGAAAGCTATATAGGCCTTGTGTACTATGAAAAAAAAAGCTGAATATTTCAATATTTTTTTTAATGCATACCCAGCTAACAGGGAATATACTTAGACAATTGGCTAATGTTCTGGCAAAGTTATGAAAAAATGTTCTTCCAGTAACGTTAATACATTAAAAGTTATCTGGTATTTAATAATGTTCTCAATTTTAGCACAAAATCATTACTTACACATTATTCATGGAATGTTTTTTCTGAAACATTTCAGTTGGACGTTCATCTAACATTTTTTTTTTAAACGTTACTAGTACTTGTTTCAGAATGTTCAGAGAACACTGAAAATGATTGTTCCCATAATGTTTAAGTGATAAAATGGAATGTTCCTTTAACATTGGCATAAACGAGAAAAAAAACATTATTAAAACATTAAAAAAACATTTTGACATTTTGAACGTTCTGGGAAAATTCTGAAATAATGTCTATATAACTTTATAGAAACGTTCTTGGAACATATATTTTTGTTAGCTGGGTATTTATCATATTGTAGTTTCCTATTATACTGGTACTGAAAATTATTGCAATACTAAAATTTATTGTGGTGCAATATAATAAATTAGCAAATTTCTCTCCCTGACCCGAATGGCTATGTGCTGCTCTTCACCAGAGTTCTGGAATTGTGATGTGAAGTGTAGAACATGACAAAAGGTTCATTTGTCAACACAAGACCACCAGAGTTTTTTAGTTTCACCTAATGAGATATTTATTACAAATCCATGTAAATTTCAGTCTTGAAAATGCCTTTTGCTCAGCCGATCGCATGCTTTAATACAGCAGCGTGAGCACAGGCACTCAGCGCTAGCTCTGGAACTCTGAAATTCATTCATTATATATTGAATGAGTTTAAAGGAATATTGCAATAAAAAAAACTTGTTTGGAAATAACAAATGACCCATTAATACTGTGCAATCTTGCTTTTGGTTCAAATTATGGTTCATAATTTGATATGTAATATGCAATTAGACACCTGCTTTTTTTCCTGTAATAACTCAAATTTTCCAAACTTTTGTCCTGTTGTTTATTGTCATTTATCTGAATGACATGAAATGACCAATAATCAATGTACACAATAATAAAAACAAGTTATATTTGTATAATTGAATGACAATATAATATTATTAAATGATAGAATTATTTAATACAATTGTAAATGTTTTATTGTTGTTTTATGTAGGTATTCCATTTTAAACAAAGTCTTGTACGTGGTAGCATCCTCATTTCCGGTTCTAGACCCATCTCGGAGAAGTCTGTTTTGCCCAAGTGCTCTGTGAAAATTGATTTTTTTTTTTTTT